CATTAGCAACATTTTCTTCATTTGGTGTAGATGACGCTGAAGGGGCTGAAGGGCCTGTATAAAATAACGACCCTGGAGGAGTGCTAGTAACAATCCCACCGCTCCCCGGGAACTGTGAAAACTGTGGAAACATTGGCATCGATGTCTGTGATCCAGATGGAGATTGAGGTGTCTGCGGAGAAGCACCACCAGCCAAATAAGATGCATATGAACCATATGCTGGATCATTAAACATAGTCGTATATGCACCTCCATATGGTATAAAACCCTGCGGGCTAGGCATGTAACCTGGCGGGCTAGGAATGTAACCCTGCGGGCTCGGAATGTAACCCTGCGGGCTCGGAATGTAACCCTGCGGAGATGGCATATAAACTGGTGGGTTTGGCATATGAAGTGGAGGGCTGGGCATGTACCCCTGCGGCATCGACGAATAAGGATGTTGTGGTGGGACTGATGCATAACCGGTAGCGCCTTCTCTCCGTCCACGCGTCGGGGGACGATGATATTGAGACGGTTGACGTCTTTCTCGGCGCCTAGGAATGTTAACCCCTCGTGCTTCCGCCGAAAGTAGAAACGGCTTCCCATTTTCATTAAACCAGTCCATATAGTTATCCGTAACCATATGACCAGTTTCAGCATAATATTGTCGAGGGGCCACCAGTGTATATCGGTTCTCCCAAAGCGCAATCCAATATCTGTGTCTCACCACCCAGTTAATATCTTTCTTTCCTCGTCTATCTATGTTATGCACGTCGTCTAAATTCCTAGGAGCTCCAGGAATATATTGCGTACAACCATACTGACGGAGCACACGATCAACTGGATGCCACTCAATAATAGCATAACATATAAGAGGTATAACTGATATCCATACCTCTAATGACCCACTAAGGTGGGGTGGGATGCAAGCTTTCACTTCATCGCTCGCATAAGGTATCCACTGAAACTGAAATATAAATATACAATTCAAATAAATAAAATATTCTAATTATATCTAACATTTTAAATTAAAATATTAATAATTAAACAAATTTAAAAACATACCTCAGACCCAGCTTTCGTATCAATAAGTAAACGAATTTCCTCTAACCCATTAGGTATACTTTTATGGTCCTTTCTTTTCATCGACCACCTATGAAATATAATATAAACTAAATATCACCCTATTTAATTGAAAATATTAAAATCAAAATTTAGTTCGAAAATTACCTCAACAATAAGGGGAATACGTATGGTTCATTCACGATCGGGCATAAGAAAGGCATACGGAACCACGCCCATGATTGTAGAAGCAGAAGACATCCACCGATAGCAGTTTTCTTATAATTCGTCGCCCGACACATTTCTCTAAAGAGAAATGCCAAAACTGCAGCACCCCAACTATATCTTTCAGCTTCATCAAAATCGATCAGATGCCGCAACCACATACAATGCACCTGGTTGCGAGATTTGTCGGGCATCAATATTCCTCCAATTATTCGTAGAATATATGCCCGAGCACATGCATTTGCTTGATCCTCTGAAGCATTTTCATTTAAAACCTCAAAATTAACTTTCAACCAAGATAAAGCTATTCTACCTCCATTAAACTCTGGCGGAGCAGCTCCAAGATAATCAATGCACATTGATTGCCAATCACCATCCTCCATACCACACATCATATTTCCGTCGACGGGAAGCCCCAGATGCATAGAGACATCCTCCAATGTAATTGTCGCCTCTCCACATGGAAGGTGAAAAGTGTGTGTCTCGGGCCTCCACCTCTCAATCAGTGCAGAAATTAGGACAGGTTCGAGTTTGCAACCGCCTATAATTGTTGCAATATACCCGAACCCGGCAGAAGCCAAATATGGCAAAATACGTTCCAGTGTCGGTATACATGGATTTTTAATAAAAGTCTCTAAAATACGATCAGTATCCTAAATAATATACATTATAAAAAATAAAAATTAATATAAATTCATAATAACTTTAAAATAAAAATAAATTTAAATATTAACATTAATTATAAAAAATATTACCATATCGCTAAAATGTCTGGAGATATGATCAATATCCAATCGTAACAGCATTTCGTTTTCCATTATAACTGTAGACAAAACAATATAATTAGCAAAAAAAATTAATAATTCTAAATAAATAATAATTATATAAATATTATTTTAATGAAAAAATAATATTTACATAAATATATTAATATAAAAAATAATAACTATTTAAAAAAATATTAACATAAAAATAAATTTCTTACCACTAATAACAAATTTAAAACTCAAATAGTTGGAGAATTTGACTTATATAAGAGAGGAGAATATGATTTTGGTGTGAAGAATGAGGGAGGGTTGAGGGGGTTTATATAGGGGAGGAGGAGGGGTAGTTAGGAAAAACGGATGGGGGCATTTATGACATTTAATGGAAGGCGCGTCCCCGGGGATGCGCTTTCCACATGTGTCTGCTGATATGGCAAAGGCGCGTCCCCGGGGATGCGCCTTCCATACGTGGCATCCAACTCAACGAAAACTCGGGTAAAGCGCGTCCCCGGAGACGCACCTTTGCCAACTTAGGAGAAAGGGTGCTACTTATGAAAATATTGGTCAAACGGTGTCAGAAAGAGAAAATAAAAAAAAACGATGTCATGTAATTTAGCCACTCAAGGCATGAGGCATCCCAATGCGGTTACGATCACCTGTGCCACAAACAAACAAAAGAATTGCAGGCACTTAAGTACACTGCATGACACGTATGATGGGCCTGACCTAGGGGAAGCAGTTAATTATGTCATTTTTTATCCGTCGGATCATCTTAATTTTCCCACCTAATCTCATATTTTAAGTAATTGTCGTTAATTAAAAAACTAAAATATAGAAATAATGAGAATTATGTTTGATAAAAGATAAGAGTTCTTTTTGGTGTACTTCTGATTCTTCAAGGTTTTCTTATACAAAACTTCCAATTTAATATTAAATAAACCATATTAGACTGTTTACTAATTAAACGACAAAACGCAACTGCAAAATAAAGAGCTCTGTGACCGTGAGGAATCATTACGAGGAGCGAGGTCTTTCATAGTGGGGTCCACTCCTTTTGGACCCACTAAATCATAGAGTTTTGACGGCCTTATTTGACGCCGTTTAATCTATTGTTTGGGTCCACCGCAAATGATGTGGCAAACCAAAAATGATCAAACTTCGTACACTGTAATAAATTATTTGGTAAAACCATATATTTGATGTATTATTTATTATCATATTATTTATTATTTAATTATTTATAATAAAAGTGTATTTAATATTATATTTTAATCATTTTTTTAGTTTTAACGATTAATTTAATAAAAATAATGATAATATATAATATAAATTACAATTTTATCCTTCAAATTCATATATTCTATCAAATTAATCCTAATTTAAAATATTAAATTTAATTTAATCCTTAATATTTAAAAATCCTATCAATTTATCCGTTTTTAATTTTCCTCTTCTTTTATCATTTATCCTTATTTTCATCTTATTCCCCATGAACTTGAAGAAAAAAAAGTATTTTGATGCTTAAAAACCAACACAAATGTGAGATTTTCAACCTAAAAAACAAAAACCTAAAAAAAAAGGAAATCTCTATATCTTAATTGATTTTATTCGGTACTTACATGGATTATAACAACAACAACAAAACCATATTCCCATATGCAGTGGGTAAGGGGAGATAGAGTAATAGGCTGCCCCAACGTCAGGTTGAGAGTAGCTTTCATGGAAGACCTCTGGCAGTGAGAAAATAAAAATAAAGATAAAACACAATGCATATATAAATAAATCAATAAAATATATAGTTGAACAATCTTCATACGCAGTCTTCATATGCACGTCTGTAATGAGAAGTAATCCCTGCAAATAAATCTCTGCATAAAAATCTCTGCTTATAGACAGAAAACGTTAGAAGGATACACAAAAATCAACGATAGCAAGCTACGAGAATGAGTAAAGTCAAATGGGTTAAAACCTAAACTAAGTCAACACTACATAGTTTAGATTAATAAAAATATATATTTTAAGATTAAAATTATTTTTATATTAAATAACATCATTGTTTTAGTTAAATCAACAGTAAAAATTGACAATGAATGATTAAAATAAAAACAAAATGTAACATATATAATTTTGCAAAAAAAAATATATACAATAATAAATAAATTGCCAAATATATAGTTTATCCTAAATTATTTACCATTACCATTTTTTGTTGTGTAAACGCGGCAAAAAACTTTTATTGAATTAATATATTTTTAAGTGAGTTTTACGTAATTCTAAAAATGAAATATTAATTCTAATCAATTACGATCGATTATTAATTCAATCAATTATTAATATTAAAATTTGTTTATATTTTATTCTCATGTTAAATTTTAAAAAAGTATATTTCAATTTATGGTTATAAACAAACTCATAATAAAAAATAAATGCATTTATACATGTTTATTCATTATATACTAATGCATATATTCTTTTTAATTAAAAAACATATTTAATCAATAATTAGTTGGTTTAAATAGATGAGACATTAGATCATTTAAGTAATATCAAAAGTTGAAATTATGATATTTATAATAGATAATTATATATTTTAAAATTTTTAATTTCAAAATAAATGTTTATCTCTCCTTAAAATATTTGATAAACATAATGTAATTGCTTAGGCTCTTGCTTCCTCTTCATTTGATTTTTTTTATAAATGCTATTTTTTTTAAAAAATAAAATAAATTAATTTAATAATAATTTTTTTTTAGAAAAAAATTAATAATAGAACTTTTAATTACTGCACATAGATAAAATTTACCATGCAAAAGATTACCTGGCTATCAAGAACAGTCACGCTCACAAAGAAAGCATTCAGTAGATACTGTTATATACAAACTACAAACACCGTATACAAATACCCCCATTTCTTTCTTTAATGATTAAAGAGGAGAGAAGAGTATAACAGAAGCCTCAGCGGTTCCCTGTTTCTCTGATTTTGATGCATTGCAGATGAAGCAAAAAGAAATAAACTAAAAATCTTCAATAAAAAAAACCCAAAATGGAAGAAAATAATTATATAGAGAGAGTTTATGTTTTTTCTAAGCCAAAGTAACATCTATTTCTGCATTTCGGGTTTTCTATTTTATTTTCTTTCTCCTTTCAGGTATCAATAGAAGAAAACCAGGTGGGTTGTTTTTTTCTTCTTTTCCATTTATTATTTTTTAGAAATTTTTTATCAATATGCATTTGTTAGCATCTGGGATTTAAAAGGTTGGATCTTTATTCGAAACCAGTTTGATTTTCAAGGTTTCCCCCTTTTCCCTTCGTGTTTTAACTCTGACTTTGATGAAGCTTATGCTGATTTTGATGCATGCAAGGTCCTTTTTTGGGGCTAAATGTTATTGCTTTATCCATTCTTTGAGTACTCATTTGATGCTTTTTTTTGCGGAAATTTGTATCTTGATTTGATCTAACTTTTTTGTTTGAGTTTCTTCTTCATCCCTCCCCCCTTGTTCTCTGTCATCTATCTTGAAAGTTCCTCAAATCTGTCTGATTTTTAGGAATCTTGTAGATTTTTTGTTAATGATAATCTGGGATTTGGTTAATGTCGATCAACAAAATCTACGCTAGCCTCATTTCTAGCTGCATCTTTATAGAGTTGAATGTAAATTAACGATCGGCTTTGTTGTTTCTTTGCTTTGTATATTTATATAGTTCATTGTTGCATATCAACTATAGATGGATCGTCCGCTTGTTGATTTTGATTTACCTTATCATATTAAACAAAAGTCTGGCAGGACTCGTTTCCTTCATTAGATTCTTCATGGGATCTCGAAAACGTCTTTAGATGAAGAGATATTAGAGCTTTGTTAACGTTTTAAAGTTTTTTTTCCTATCCCCATCTTACATTGTTGATGTGATTCAAGAATCTTGTGCTGTTTTTATTTATTTTTATTTGGTTTGCTAGAGGACACGACTAAACTTCTGTTTTTGAAGTTAAATTACTATGATTTTGTTCTGCTTATTTGCCATGTATCGTCCGAAAGTTTATACATCCTGTGTGTCAGATACTTTTCCCTTTATAAATATATATATATATATATATATATATATATATATATAAAAGGTATTGCTATACATGGTACTTGTTTTGTTATTTTTATCACTAGCATGTGTTTTATATTGATGGATTCTTAATTCTGATGCAGTAAGGAGTTGCTGGTTTTCTTGCTAAATGGTTGAGGTTTTATAGATAATGCAGTGTAAGAAAACATACTTTATAAGCAAGTTCAATGGATGGTAATCTGATGGCTGATCCTGATTCAGAGTCCTCTACATTGGGTTTAAGGCACATAAGCAGCTCACTTTTCAATATTCCTGGTTTCCTTGTTGGATTTAGCTCTAAGGGTCCTTCGGATTATGATTCAGTGCGAAGCCCTACATCACCTCTCGATTTTAGAGTTTTTGCAAATTTTAGCAACCCTTTTGGGGTTAGGTCTCCTAGATCTCCATCTCAAAGTGGTTGTCAAAAGAAGTGGGATTGCAATAATATAGGTTTGGGCATTGTGAATTTGCTTGCTGATGACATTAAACCGGATGGTGGAGACCTTGATTCTTCGAAGAGAAAGAACATAATATTTGGACCACAGGTGAAGGCTAAATTTCCTTGCTCCTCGAGCTATTCCCATGAATTCCTCGGTAATTCAATGAAAGCCAATTCTTTGCCTAGGAATTACATAATCTCCCAGCTTTTCCAAGCTGGAAAATCCAATGCCAAGTCAACAATTTCTAGTCGTGGCTTTGGAAATGAGGAGGTACAGGTAGAGCCCAAACCAGATCCTGGGCTTTCCCCCTTTTTTATTTCCTCAACGGAAAACCCGAAGTTGAGTTCCAGAAGTTTTTGTTCAGAGAATGGAACCATCAGCACTAATAGTTCACCTTTGCCAATTGGCAAATCTTTGCAAGTAGATAATTCTTTGGTAAGTAAACCAAGTTCTCTTCCTATACTCTTGAGCCATAGCCTGGTATCTCTTCCTGCAAATGAGATAGAGCTTTCGGAGGATTATACTTGTATAATTTCTCATGGTCCGAACCCTAAAACGACTCATGTTTTTGGTGACTGTATTTTGGAATGTCACAACAACGAGTTAACAATTTTTGACCAAAAACCTGAACCCTGTGCCGAAGTGCCTCCACCAGGTAACGGCGAAAAGACTTCAGCACTTTACCCCTTCGATGAGTATTTGAGCTTCTGTTACACTTGCAAGAAAAAACTAGAGAAAGACGAAGACATTTACATGTACAGGTTTGTACTCTTTACGTCCCCACACAACTCTTACTTAAGGTTGCATCTTGTTGTAAATTGTAATGGCCGAGTGTTTGATCTCCTGAGTCTTGCAGAGGTGAAAAGGCATTTTGCAGCCTTGATTGCCGCTCTGAGGAGATTTTTGCGGAGGAGGAAATGGAGAAAACTTGTAATAATTCCTCCAACGGTTCTCCGGAGCAGGGCAACGAGGAAGACCTCTTCCCAATGGGTATGTCCATTAACATGTAATGGACTATTATTATGATTGCTTTTTGTAGGCATCGATGCCAAGAGTGATGACTTTAACCTGGATGATCATCTGTTCATAAAGAAAGAGCTGTTTATGTGAATTTACTTGCAGCCATGGATGATCAAAGCATAAATCACTAATCAGCATTGAGTTTAATTTATAGTTCGGAGATATAATACTAATAGACGGCTGTTGCATTATAATTTTGATTAGACGAGACCCATCTCATCGGTTTTCTTCTGCTTTCTATATCTTTTGCTCCTCTGTGAGCTGCTGTATAAATCTCTTGAACTTGAAGAACTCAATGTTGAATTCTGAATGCATGTCCGTTAATATTACTTGTCTGTAGTAATTTAATAGCTCAATTATGAATTTATATCCCAATCTCAGAACCGTCTATGCTATTCGTTCATTCTATTATATATAATCACTGTGTAGGAGGCACCCGCTTGATAGTCAACCCATCCTTTCTAAATATATTGGAAGATAATGAGGAACGTTTCAAAAAAGAAAAAAAAAAGATCACGAGGAAATCCAATGCACCCATCTTTAGTAGCATTAACGGAATAAATTAAGACCCAAAATGTGAGACGAAGAAAGTTTGTGCAATTAGTAGAGTTTGAAATGACTAATTAATAAATAAATAGGTTTTATTCGATTGAATTTATCAGTTTTGAAATGACTAAGTTTGTGCTTCGGATCTGTTTGAGCAACTGAAGAACTCAAGAACGGAATGTAAAGAGCTCGAGTCTAAGATTTCAAGTGTCAGGTTCGAGTTTGATGAAGCTAAACTAAGACTGCTGGGTAGCCTTGATGAGGCCAAACAAAGTGGCAAAGTTCTTGCCAGTGAGCTCTCAGCTTCAAAAGAGCTGCTGAAGAAAACTAGGGAGGAGCTGCAGACTTTTTCTCATGAGCTGACATCTATGATAGAAAACCGTGATAGCCTTCAAAGGGAATTGGTAGATGTTTATAAAAAAGCAGAAACCACGGCCAACGATTTGAAAGAAGAGAAAGTTATTGTTTCTTATTTAAAGAAAGAACTGCAGGCTCTGGAGAAGCATATCTTGAAGGATAAAGAAGCAAGAAAATCACTTGAAACAGACCTGGAAGAGGCTATCAAGTCACTTGATGAGGTGAACCAAAATATATTGAAACTTTCTATGGATCTCGAAAGTGCTAATGCTAAAATATCTGGTCTCGAGGATGAGAAAATGGTTCTCTATAGAACACTTACACAGCAGAAGCATGCGTCCAAAGAAGCCCAAGAAAACATGGAAGATGCTCATAAGCTTGTGATGTCACTTGGCAAGGAAAGGGATAGTTTGGAAAAGCAAGTGAAGAAACTCGAGGACGAACTGGCATCCGCTAAGGGAGAAATACTACGGTTGAGGAGTCAAATAAGTTCATCCGAAGTTCTAGTAAACGATAAGCCTAGGCAGAGAGATGAAAGTGAAGCTGAAGCAATGGTGACGGCCAGTGCAAGGAAAACTACTACCAGGAGGAGAAAAAGTAGCTCAAAATGAGGTAGACGATTAACCATCCTGAGCTATAATATACTCTTATCATGGATTTGATTGTTGCGTATTAATTTTTCGCAATATCTTTGTATTGTTGTGATATAAATCTAAAGCTGACGGCGAGCATGCTGAGTAAGGAATTTACTTAAGCATGTAAAATTCCATTGTATGATACCACAGTATTGTTGTTATATAAATCTGACACCCAGTCTGTCAAATTAAGGAATTTACTTTTGCATGTAAAGCTCCATTGTTTATTTCGAACTGATGGAATGCTAACACAAGTTATCAATTAATAACATAGTGATTAAAATAAGTGAAATTTAAAAATTGAATGACAAATTTGAAAAATTATAAAGTTGAGTAACCAAAATAGAAACCTAAACAAAATTGAGGGAAGAATAATAGTTTACCCTACATTGTTCAACATAATTACTGGAAAAGGAAAATATTAAAAATGAATAACTCTCTAGAGTCTCGACCATAGTAATAATCGAACCCACGACAAATCTAATGAAATTGTTGATAAAATTGAACCTGAGGCAGAGGAAATAAATTAGCCTACCCTTATTCCCATTTGTAATAGGGTAAGGGGAGATAAGATAATAGACTGTCCCCAACGCTAGGTTGAGAGTAGTTTCCGTGGGAGACTTCCAAATTATGAAATGCCGACTTCAAGATTAAAAACCTTATGCTTTACCAACTGAGCTGGATGGTCATTTCACAGAGGAAATATGTTCTTTAAATCCTTAATTCATTATTTCTTTACATTTTAATTCATATTCAAGAATTCAAAAAATATTCATATTCAAAGTCTCGAATGATTACAAGATATTGTATGTTCAGAATTTTATCCAATCATTGATGATTCGAAAACATTTTACAAATATAATTATTTGAACTTATGTTCGAGTAAAAAATAATTCATCTTCATAGAGAATTTTTCTTATGTAGGGGCACAACAAATTATAATTTTTTAAAGAGTTAATTGTATATCGTATGTTGTTTTTTTATTGTAAATTAATCTTTAAAATTTTTGTTATTCTAAATTTATCTTAAGACTGTGGTTTTTATTCTAACTTGATCCTTAAACTTTTAAATATTTTAATTCTATATTAAAACTATGAGCCTAGTTTTAAATTAATCCTCAAATTTTTTATCATTCTAATTTCATCTACAAACTATCAATATATGTCAATTTTAAGTTAATCCACAAAGTTTTGATCATTCTATTTTCTAATTTTTGTTTATATCACATCAATATTCAAATGATAGTTAATAATTTTATTAACTAGGGACGTAATTAACATATATCGATAATTTATGGATGAAATTAGAATGATCAAAAGTTTGTGGATTAATTTAGGATTAGAATCTTAGTTTTGAGATGGAATTAGAATATTTTAAAGTTGAAGGATCAAGTTAGAATGAAAATATTTGAAAATGAAATTAGTATGATCAAAAGTTTGGGGACTAAGTAAGAATGATAGTCATAGGTTGGAGATAAAATTAGAATGATCAAAAGTTTAGGGACGAATTTAAAATGATAGTCATAATTTGGAGTCTTGTGGTGTATTTAACTCTTCTTTAAATTGACTGCATATGAATACTGATTAGCTATGTATTTATGTATTTATTTATACATGCATTGCATTTTATCTAAATTTTTAATTTTCTGAATGCCGGAGGTCTTCCACGGAAGCTACTCTCAACCTGGCGTTAGGGGTAGCCTACTACCCTACCTCCCCTTACCCCATACATATGGGAATTGGGTTTTGTTGTTGTTTAAATTGAAAAAAAGAAGGAGGTTTTGGGAAAACAAAATTTGCAGAATTCATTCAACTATACGGTTCCTCGTCTATCTCTTGTATCGATCTCCATATTCAATATTTAATCTTCACTTTCTTCCTTCAATTATTTTGAACCAAAATCTCAATTTTATTTAAGTTACCTGGCATTGGGAAATATATATTTGTATTTAATTTATCTGAGAAATAACTGTTGATTTTTCTTATCAGATTCGGGTTTGTTCCTCTCCGGGCTCGCTGATTTACCAGATCCGAGTTCACCAAGTCTCGTTCTTGGGTACACTAAAAAGTGAAAAATTTTGAACACCAAACTCAGTTTAACATTGGATTTTCATTGTTTACGAACTGGGTTTTTCTTTAGCTTTCAAAAGTTTCAGCTTGGCAGCCAATGGTTTTGCATTAGTCCCTCTCTTTTTCTTTTTTTTAAAGAATTGGGGTTCCAAGAAAATTATTCAAAGGAACCAGTTATTTATTTAAGATCTGACACTTGGATATAAGGAAAATTTAGATATTGAGAAATTGAAAGGGTTATTTGAATTGCAGTCATGTTCTATGGGGCGATGGTATGGGATCCTTGGCTTATTGTAGCCCAAATTGTTTGCCTTCAATGCTTATACTACCTGACGCTTGGAGTCTTCTTGTCCTTTCTTGTTGGTACTCATGTTTCTCGTATGAGCTTGGTCTATTTCTTTGACTTTGCTACTCTTACATCCTCAACCCTTGTCGGCTGGTGTGTCATTGTTTCGTTTCTGTTCAGCGCTGTTGCAGGGTGAGAAACTGAGAATATAATTCCCTCCATAAATTTTAGATTTGCTTCATTTGTATAATTATCTGCCTAACTTTTGATTGCCTTTATAGAAGAAATGATCGGTTACTATATGGATATACTAACTATTAGATTTGCTTTAATATAAATTATTATTTTCATAAATGAATGTTTTGCTCACCCATGGCCTAACCTTTTCTGTGTACCTCATAACAACTAATGGTTGCTTGTGATTGAACTAAATAATCCCCATTGCTTTTGTTTTATCCATGGTTATAAGTTGTAGAACTGGCTTTGATCATTATACAGGCTATGTCCTACACTTGTGATGTTTAATAATGGTCTGTGACATTAGTGTTATAATATGTCTACTTTTTCTGATACTAAACACTAGGGTTTAGAAATCTCTGCACATGCCTTTTGAAGTCGAAATGTAAAGTTGATTGAGCCTTGAACTCTTTTTTAGGATACTGTAGTTAAGCTTGGAAGTAATTTACCTCCCTGCCCAAGTCATTGGATCTGTAAATTTTGCTGATTCAGTTTTTCGTTATGAGGGTTATTTAGTTGTGAATTAATGGCCAGAGCTAAATGTTAGTTCTATAAAGATATTATCTCCATTAAGTCTTGGAAGTATACTGTACTGATAATCTAGGCATTTTTTAAGCTTAGCTCATTTTAACTTGCATTTTTGTTTTATTTGGTCTTACCAGAGCCGGCTACATGATTTATTTGATTGAAAGGGCAAAGAAGTGCTTAGATTTTTCGGCCACCCTCTATATTATCCATCTTTTTATATGCCTTGTATATGGAGGTTGGCCTTCCTCTGTTACCTGGTGGGTTGTAAATGGTACTGGAGTTGCAGTGATGGCTTTGTTAGGTGAATATTTATGCATTAAATGGGAACTGAGAGAGATTCCCACTCGATACAGATCAAGTAAGAGATAATTCGTATATATGCTAAGAGTGACTTATTAATTATAATATGAAATATTTTTTTTCCTTTATTGGTTTATAGCAGTGATGTTCTTGGAGGCATTTCCAGGAAAAAGAGTTTTTTTTTTTTAACTTTTTTCCTTTTGTTTCTTAATCCCAAACTGTTGGAAAAAATGAAGAAGAAGATCCATTCTCATGCTAGTTATCTGATCTAAGAAAATATAGAAATAAAAAAAATCCAGTTCTTTAGCTAAAGCTAAAACATAAAACGGAAATGGTTCAAATACTTGTTCAGCCATTGACCTAGGACATTGCTAGTTTTTTGAGTTGGAGTTTAACATGCCACATTATTTATGGTCTTTGTTCCTTTTCAGTTTATAATTCTTTTTAGTTTCACTTAATGTCATACTATGGACTGAATTTGAAACTAATCCATGCAGATATTTGACTGACGAAGAATCACATGTGAAGAAATTCCTCGCAGCATTAAAATTCATGGTATTTCTTCACTTCTTTGGAAGAGCTGAAGGATATAGTTCTCTTGATATGAAATCTAATCTGCAATGAGAAATATCTAGCTTAAGTTAAATTATCTAAAGATGGCCGAGAGCTGGGATTAGTGGTGCTTAAGTGATATGAAGCTGGAGCACATAAGTATGCATTCATTTGAGGGAGATCTTAGTTTACAATGATTCACTGCAGCTGATACTGTTTTTTGATTTTATCTTTTTAAATAATTGAGTAGCTTATCATCCTTTGATCTGGTAACATGAAATTTGCTTTAATTTATCACCTTCCAAAGTGAAATTCAGAAGATATAACTTTGGGAAACCACGAGGCATCAACTTGTTTGGTTTTATGGAATACAGCAAGGTTTAACTTTCATTTCTCTATTAAACCAACGCATAATGTTTAATTCATGTAGGGTTTTCTCACAAAATGAAAAAAAAGGTCTTCTCTACGCTGAACCTCTTTCAAGACTGCTAAAGGGTCTAAAAGGGTTAGTCAAGCGTTTGCTTCTTGTCTACAATCTCATCATGGTTGAGGATTCCATGAAGCTGAGATGTCTCCCACTGCTTCCCCTACTGTGAGATAGACTGAACTTGTTCCAAAGGACTCTAAAGCTTTCGACTGATGCAATTTCTCCATCACACTTCCCACTGGATTTACCAGCACCAGCTGAAAATGACCAAAAAGCTGTGTCAAAACCTTAAGTACGCACTGAAATTTCATTTGATGAAAATCGACAGTCGTTTACCTGAAGTGATCTTTTCTCCAGCAACTTTCTTAGTTCACATACCAGGTCGATGCCGCTTGTATCTATTGATGTGACAGCTATAATAAATTTGCATCACTGTTAGCCAAATACAGTCGAGATATCTTTTCGGTAGAAAAAGATAGAAGCTTGGGCTTAAAGGAAAAATATATTACTTACCAGTCATGTCAATAATTACACATTTCAAAGCGCTTTCATTGTTTTGGTTAATCCATTCTTCCTCCTCTCGGATCCATCTTAACATCCTATAACAAAGAAATTCCTTCAGTCAGCAACCAATTGCTACTGATAGAACATTTCTGCCTGATGTTGTATTGTATGGTTTATTGGTCAATCAATTGTAAGATTCAAAGGAGGCATTTATGGGGTTACCTTTCTTGTAGATAAGTTGAATTTGCAAAGTAGATTGGAGATTCGATGGCCAGTATGAGAAAGGAAGGGACCCTTGAAGCTTCTTTGTATCTATAGAGGTTTTGGTATATCTGTGTTCTTGGAATATTCCCCAATACCATAGTGTTTGGCCTGGTGACATGCAAGAGAATCTTGAATACAGAAACTCCAACCTGCAATTACGGGCACCAATCGGAAATTTTTTGTTACTTGATATTCTCTGTCGATGCTTTTAACAAATACTAGGAGAAGATGAGAAAAAAGCAGAACCACTAGGAAAAGTTTAAAATGCTTACTGCAATGGCAAGTCCCAGAGGAACAGAGATGAAAAGAACCCCAAAGAAAGAAGACATACAAGCCAAGAAATCGAGTTTATCTACTTTCCACAACTTGTATGCCCCCTGGTAATCAATAAGCCCTATCACTGCTGTTATGATGATGGCTGCTAAGATGACATTAGGGGTGTAGTAAAATAGTGGCATCAGGAACAGCAGAGTCACAAGCACAGCTGCAGCTAATACGATGTTAGAGACTGCTGTTTGAGCTCCAGCATTGTAATTTACCGCAGATCGAGAAAATGATCCTGAAAAAAGACATGTCAAAGAGAATAGTGTTAGATGCTATATAAAGAATATGTTTTTGTATTGGGAGTACTATGTGAAAGAGCCAACACCTGTTGTGACATAACATGAAGTGCAAGAACCAGCCATGTTCATGAGACCTAGGGCCATCATTTCTTTGTTTCCATCAACTTGGTAGTTCTTTAGAGAAGCAAATGTCCTTCCTACTGCAACCCCTTCCTGCAAAATATTATAAATCATCTGGATATTAGAGAAAAAAATCATATAGAAAATAGATATCAAGAACATGATGGCAGTTCCATGCAAATCCACACAATCATTTATAGGTAAGGTAGGCCATCCATAAAATGGTTTGGAATAGAATGTTTATGTTGTCCAATAACGTTCAGTAACAAAAAGGGTTCTAGTAATCAAATAGATATCAATGATAGTGCTGGTTAGGGCAAGCTTACAGTAAGGGACAGAACCCCGGTGATAATTCCAGTCTTGATAGCCAAAGCCAGATGTTGGCCATTGAAGTATAGCATGTTCAATGAAGGTGGATTCAAACCCTTTTGCAAGTGGCCAATCTGTGAAATATAAAGAGAAAGGCAACTTAGATTTGGATAACCTTTTAATCTTTTACATAAAAGTAGAGTAGTAGAATCATTTCTTACAAATGAGATTCCATGAGCTTCTGATTTAAGGCAGAAGACTAAGGTCGTTGAGAGAATCACGGATGTTAATGGGGCAGCTGCTGATACCCAGAAAAGATCCGGTTTCCTCATGCTCTGTATCGAAACTTTCAAACATCAAATTCTATGAAGAACTAAGCTAGAATCTGGACAAACTTTTTGGTGGTCAAATAGAAATACTTACAACATGTCTTGCTGTCAACATAAAGACCAGGAAGCCAAATCCCATTACAATAGTTTGCCAGGACCACTGCATATGAATTTAAACCAATATTATCATTGCATCGTTTTGTTAAATACATCTCTTTCTACATGAAACCATGCATAATATTACAGTGGTTTAGTTTTTTGGATTAAATCAAAGGGGTAGATTTTCATTCATCAAAATTATCCCAAGCAATGAATATGCAAGCATTTGTAAACTGTCCCTTTTGGACAAATGATCAACAGGATTCTTGGCAAAAAAGCAAGAGGAGCCCTTCCAAGATGGTGCTAATTACTATCTTAGCTGACATTCTTCCACAGTGACTAACACCTAGTTTTTTTTTTTGGGGGGGGGGGGGTGGAGATGAATAAGGGAAGTTTACATTTCTTTCCCTTGGTGAACCCACTTACTTCATTTTTATGCTCAAATACAGAGGTCAAAACAGGTATCAGTTGCATCTTGTTTGTGAAATGAACTATTCCAAGCAACCCCTTTAGCTGTTGTAATGACACAATGACTGCTGCACCTGCCATGAATCCAAGAAGTGTTGCCTTCGATAGGAAATCGATAATAAAGCCTAACCTGTAAATCAAAACCAGAATCAATTAAAATCCTAATAGATAGAAGAAGTAGCTTTTGTGCCTATAGTCCAATATGTTCAAGAAATCTTCTGATTTTCTGAAAATGATGATTAAGGTTCAGGAACACCTTTGTTTAACAGATACCAAGACAGAATCAATATGTGCATATCACACTTTGTTCCACAGTGGAGGAATCTTAAACTTATTATTATCAACTAAACCTCTAGGAAAATAAGAGGGGAAAAAAAGACCTCTTCTTAACTATCAAACTTTACCTTAAGAGACCCAAAGATGCGTGAAATACACCAGCAAAGAAGGTAGAAGTGAAGGCCAATTGAAGGTAGAGCATTGGCTCTTTAGTGGGGGAGACACTTCCACTGAGCATTGTGCCCATCACTAAGGAAGCAATGGACACTGGACCAACAGCAAGATGCCTAGAACTCCCAAGGACTGAATAAAGCAAAGGGGGAACGAAGCTTGAATCTGCATGAATTGATAGAAATTCATATCAATTAAGAGTTATTAATTTGCATTTATCTATCGTTGCATTCAACTCGGAGACAGTAATTTTGGTTCTGATACTAACATAAACCAACGATAGGTGGCAAATTTGCAAGCTTTGCGTAGCTGATTCCCTGCAGTCCATCAAAACAAAATAGATTACCAAAAAAAGAATAAGGAGTTTCATTTTTCAGTTTAAGAATTTTGATTTGATCCGAACATAATTGTCATATCTGACATGCAAAGATCATCTCCATAAATTCACATGAGTGGATTAATTAGGGGGGATCATCTTGAGATAAGTTCTAATCAAGCATAATTTTTTAATTTAAACTACAATTATTTCATCATTAAAAAAATAAACAAAAAGCAAAAATCTCACATAAGCCACACATTCAGTGGAAAACATTCTTTTTCTTCTTCTTTTAAAACCACTCTAATGATCTAAAAAAAACTGGAATATATTCATAAACACGTCCAGTCCACTAATATTCATTAGTGAACAAACCCGTGAACAAACCCATGAACAACCATGACAAAGATCGATAGAAGCTATTTGTTGTTTAGTGTGTTGATTGGTGGTTTTACCTGTGGGATTGCAAGGCTAGCAATGGTGAGACCAGAGATGATATCAGACCTAAACAGTCCCAGATTGTACTCAAGACCCCATTGGCATATCGGGAACAAAGACTTAACTCCCAGAACCAGCTTCTTACACCAAGTTTGGTTTTTGAATCCATAGAGAGGATCATCGGGGGAAAATATCTCCGAAAGCCTGTGTTTGAGCTTCTGGAAAGTGGTTTTCTTTGGGGGCATGCAAACATTGTGTATCTCCATCGTCGTAGCCTCTGGTACTGGCATTGGTATCTCTGTAGAAACCTTAACAGGTGTTAAAGTTGTATTTCCAGTATGGCTAAAGATATCATCAACCCTGTTGGAATTTAAACCCATTTCCCTTCCCCTTTTTGCTTCAGCAAAAACTGAAACTTGGATTAAAGAGTTTTTCCCCACTTATATTTTGGGTGATGATTTTTTTGGTGGAAGAAGGATGAGCATTGGCTGTGAATTTATAGAGAAGTGAAACTTGGAAGGGTATCTATCAGAGGGTAGTTATTGTGCAGTTTGTTGGTATTTGCTTGACTAGGCTAGTTTAGTGATGTAGAAATTTAAGAATAGTGGTTTAATTTTTTTTAAAATAATGGGTATGTAAAATTTATATTTTTTTTCTTAACACATTAAACTAAATTTAATAACTTTTTTAAAATAATGAGATGTATTTGACCGTGTGGGAACTTAGTGCATCCGCCAGTCCTTTTCCTATTTACCATCGTCATCTTCAAAGTGAAATGAAACGGAATGCATTGAGAATTTGTGCATTTTACTAAAATTAAAATAACGAAGGTAATTGAGTTTTTCTTGCAATTTCTATATTTTAGGGGTTTAATTTGGCTTTTGGATAAGAGAAAATATTGTAAGAAACGGAAAGCATCTATAGGTTTAATGCAAATTATGTCCGTAATCATTTTTTTAAGAAAAATATATCATGTTTTTTGCTAGGTTAATGAAGTAACAATTCAAAATAATATTTTTATTAAAAATATAATTAATTATTATTATAATAATTTTTGAAAGCATAAAAGATATTTTTGGAGTATCTGATTGCAAAATTATTATTTTTGTTGAATGGGCTTAAAAAACCGACATTCGAAAAAAATGTTCTAAATTAACATAGTTTAGCCTAGGGCTGTAAATGAGACGAGACAGATCGCGAGCTACTCGAAATCGACTTGATCAATGCTCGATAAATACTCGGATCGAATGAACTCGTCTCGAGTTCTTAACGAGCCGAAACGAGCTACTCGATATTCGACTCGAAAAGCTCGTGAGCAGTTCGAAAATATAATATATTAAGATTTTATTTTTAAAAAAATAAATTATTAATAATATTAATATTTATATATTGATTTTAAAAAAAATACAATAAGATTTCATATATTTAAGATTCATGTTCGAGTTTGAGTTTGAAGCTTCAATCGAGTTAAGTTTAAGATTTTTTTTCATTTCGAGCCTTTTCGAACTGCTCACGAACTTCAGTTCAGGATTTTGAGTTCGAGTCGAGCTTGCGAATTTTTACGTCGAGTCGAGCTCAGCAATTCTCGAACTCGACTCGGCTCGTTTACACCCGGAGTCTAGCCTAGTGTCTTGAACTCAAAAGCCTTGCTAAAAGTAATTTAAAGAAAGACGTGTAGCTCTCGAACTGCCTTTGCCTAAGGGAATATTTTGAAATCTTTCTCTGTTGATACTAATTTTGACATTAATTCATTCCCAAAGGTTAGGTTACTCTCAAAACTCTAAAATAAAACTCTGACAATTAGTTGGATATGTCCTGATGAATGAATTACCTTTTTGCAGCGGTATGCTTTTGACTTATATATAATGGAGCACTGCAGGAAACATCATAGGAAACCAGATCAATCTGCACGTTTCATTAAAAAAAAAACAGAAGACGTCGGGATTTGCCTTTTGGTCGACCTTAATTGAAAAACATATCAAGACAACCATATAGACCGATTTGGTATGTTCAAGATATTGATTATATAATACAAAATAGTCTTTGAATTAGGGTTTGATTTACCCATGTTATTAAATTGCAGCCGCAACGCAGTGTAACGGCCGCATCGTAACGGTTTTGAAGATCACTGTAACGCAATATTAACGTAACGCAACTGCCCGCGACAGCCGCAACCGCTATTTTATACTATGGATTTACCTAATTAATACAACCGCTTTTACGACAAACATTCAATAAATCTGAGGTTTATAAGCACTTACTAATATATGAATACGTGAATGGTTTCTTATTCTATGGGTTAGCTGCACGTGTCGTGTTACCTGAAACAGATATTCTGCAAATAAGTTTTGGGAGGATAACGACATTGAATGGTAAGATGTAAAAACAAGAAGATGGAAAGAAATGGATGGAAATGCAAAAAGAAAATGATTTTTAAATAAAGATTTATATTAGATTAATTAGTGACATCAACTCAACCAAAGATCTTGGTTAAAGCGTGATGCTTTACATAGTGTTACAAAATACAAATGTCTTGACACGAGCCACTAGTATTTCATGGTAAAAGCTTTTTCTTTTCTGGTATATTATTATTTCCGTATCTTATTTATGTTTAAGTTTTTATGTTCAACATTCGTATAATATATAGTTTTATATAAATACAAAGATAATATATTGTTTTTTAATAAAATTGAATATATTTTTGTGTTAGTACAAATATTTAAATTCGAGCAGTGCAAGTATATGATGTGTGTTTGTTAACTGCTTAATCAAAGTAGAGATGACAATGAGAGATGACCTTCACCTATATGCGGCGAGAAGGAGAAGGCTTTCGGTTGCTACCTATAATTGGATTGTGAAAGGCAGTGCATTCTGTCAAGCAATGTATATGTTCCCACCATGGATGAACCAGAATTAAGTACAATATCTTTCACCACCACCATTTCTTTTCTTTCTATCATTTCAGATAAAAGCCACCAACGAGAAATATTCTGTGGCAATGTTGGCAGGATTTGATAGGGCTGAAATGGGGTTCCGATTTCCGGGAATATCTGACTGATTTTTTATTGCAATTTGACCAACGCCAGTTTCTAGGGCCATTATTTCAACGGCTCAAATGCTACAAATTCAATTCTGCGCCAGAGAAATTCCTTCTTCTTTTATTTTTGTTTTTATATAAATATTTTAAGGACTTTTAGATGAGCACTTGACGTGGTATGTTTGCTTTTGCGTAGAACATGACCCTTTGGAAGGACTGAACATAAATTATCCACACGGGGATCCACAACTGGCGTCGACTTTGTTAAGAATTTACCAAGTGGCAATCTGCACTTTGTTTCCAATAAAACAAAGCCCGTCAATCCCAGCGGCCACCTGTGCATGAAAACCAGGCATCATCATGCTGTACGACGACCAATTGTCTTATATATCGATTGATTTTACAGGTGGCTGAAAAGTGAAAACATACGCGGCTAAACAAGCATCTCTGGTGGGAATGGAGAATCGTTTTCAAATTTACTTGTTTTAATCATAAACATATCTCTAAAGTGCAAGGAATAAAAAATCCGACAGGTCAGTACACACCAAACCTAGCCACACAAACGCTTGCTCCTGCTCGATGACCATTTTTTGAGGAATTTCAGAAATTTCATATGTGGGGTTGCATGCAGAGTACGGTGTAAACTTTCATCAACAACATGACATAGAAGAGTCTGTGGGCATATCACTCCTTGCAAGTCAATCACTCCAACGTCTAAACAAAGAAAAAAAAAAGTAAAGTCCAAATAAGGCTACGGATTTTGTTAGAGGCATTAATTGAGGGCTATCATTTAACATTAATGTAGTGGTTGACTAGGGTTCCATTGAGTAATATCGAGTCTCGTTTCTCAGGATCAAGATGGGAAGACCTTAGAGGACTTGTGAGGGGGAGTTCTTGAGTGGACGAGTTTATTCTTTGGTATATTCCGTTCCATTCATGTTAGCAAAACCCACTTTTACATTTCCGAGCCATTATCTTACCCTAATGGACTTATTTTCTTCCATGTGTATTTTACTTTAGCCTTCCAATTGATCCAACTCCATTTACAAGTCAAGTAAGGCGACCTATATATAAAGGTGCGATCCAATAAATACACGTGACATAATTTTTAATTTTCTTTTAATTTTTAAGTATCATATAATTATTTTAAATTTAAAATCCTTAAATTTCTAAAAAAAATCTCAAAGTTCATCGATCATCATCATTCACCTCTTTTATCATCGAACTCTCACTAATTGGTTGTGTAACCCCCTAGACAAGTCTGTGCATTACGACTAGGTCTAACGGATTACATTAATATTTCCAAAACATTTTTGATAATTTAAAATCCATATTACCAATAATATCTTTAAAACGTAGTATATAACAATAAAATCCAAACGAGTAAAGATAAAATTTTAAGTAACAGAGTAAAATAAAATATGTCATAATCTGAATCACAGTGAGTCTATTATCAGTAGAGGAAGCAGTAAACATCATAAAAATAAGTATTTCAAAATGAAGGCACATGTCACTGTAATTGAAAGCAGTTCGGAAGATAGAAACATTACAACAAAAGGTTCTGTAAGAATGTGTCGATCCTCCAAGTGACTGGCTTGGGGTGTCTATCCAAAAGTATCTGAAAGGAAAAAACAGTTTGAAAAAAGTGAGTTAGGGAGCTCAATGTGTCCCTCTAGTATAAATAACACATGGTAGATAAAATAATCAGGAGTGTTCCAGTAAGGTATCGTAAAAAGTCATAGATAAGTTGAATTTAAAACTCATAATACCCTCATCTCGTACACCATAATGCAGTTTCCCCAGAACTGCATTTATAAGGGCTACCTTATACCCATTGGGTATAAGAGTCACCCTAAGGGAGTACCTTGGGGCCTGAGAACCTACCCAATAAAGTTCTCGGGGCCTCGAAGCCTACCCAAGGGTCGCCTTAGGTTCGTAAGGTATTACCAGCTTGATCAGAGTTGAACCTCCATACTTCAGTATCCTACCCAAAACAGTATCTCAACTAAACAGTTCTCGCAATAAATAATAATTTCCATGAATATGTAATCAGAATAATCGTATTTGCAGTGTAAACAAGTAACCAGATAATATATATCAAACAATCATAGTTCATAAACAGTAATCCAGTAAGCTAGTAAATCAATAATTTTGGAAAATCATATTTTAAAACATGTAAAACAATTATATGACACATAAGGAACACACCTCACAAAATGGGATCAGTTAGGGTGTCTACTAAGCATCTGCTTCACTACCCTCTACAGCAGTGCTTGAACCTAATTCATAATAAAACTGGGTAACTATCGGAGTAACATTTTTAATCTATGTAATCACAAGGTTCACTAGTCATACGAGTAACCACTTGCTCACGAGATCGAACGGATCGAGA